GGAAGGGATATCGTTAGGATAGACAGACTAGGGAAGACATTTTTGAGCCACCTTTGGCAAAGTAGAAAGGAACGATTGGCCATCGGTGATCGGTCCTGTGGGAACAATGCTCCGTCCTCTCGAGGACGCGTGGTCAATGGTCTAACCGCTATGGCATGCAAAACATAAGAGTACGCCCCCCCACGCCCCTCTCGTGCAGCTATGATGCTGCGCTGCTGCATGTGAGCCGGTCGGACTGGAACGGACGGCGTGTGTCGGGGTACCCGGTGTCTTTCGAGATCTCAGGCGTAGCCGAATCCTCCGACAAGCCTTTCATCGACGTCGGCGACGTCGCTCTTCACGTTGAGGTCAGTTTTCCTGGCTCAATGCGACGATATGGTTCGTACCTGTGCGGACATGACCAGCGCGCTGCATGCATCACCCCAGTGGCGCTGTAGAGGCGTTTGGTCAGTTGTAACGCCTGGCATCGCGAGGGGCGGTCTACATACGCCTGGAGAGTCGGGACGGGCGATGATTTAACCCGGTTCATTCCGGAGCGCGACCATGTCACGGAACCCAACTTTCGGGACGCGATGGCGTCACGGAGCCCCCTCCCGCGGGAACCAATCAAATGCCCGCGCCTTTTGCGGCCAGAAGCGTGGACTTACAGTATGTTACCAGATCAACCCGCCACCCCACTTCTCTCAAGGCGCCTTTGAACATTGCCCGCTGTTCCTTTTCCTCCTCCCAACACAGGTGACGGGGGAGACGGTTTTCCGAATGGCGGGTACCCCGACGGATGCCACATCGCCAGACGGCTTGACTAAGGTTAATTCCAGGGAAGCCGGCCGCGCGGAGTTCGAGCTGGATCTGTGCACGGACGTAGTAGGAGTCCGCTGCCCCCTGCAGGCTGGGGACCGGTTCAGCGGCGTCGCCACTTGGAACGGTAATGTTATGTTCACAATCTGGTGGCGTTTGGAGTAGGTACCGTAAGCGGGCGGAGAGATGGCACCAACCAGATGGACCGGATTCAAAGTTCGATTGCGCCAATAACCAAGCTTGTGCCACCGCCAAAAATGGTGGTGGCTTGGGCAAACATGTTGTCGAGGGTTTTCCGTAAACTTGTCTGGTTCTTCCGGCACACCTTTGGTTGTGTAGCAAAGTCGAATCGAGCTTTGCAGCTCCGTCTAGGGAGGGTGCCATCTTTCTCTCTCTCTCTCTCTCTCTCCGCCTCGTAACGGTATCTACTGTTGTTCTAGCCGCCGTTGTCGTCATCTCCAGATCAGCAACGGTTCTGGCATCCCGGTACCATTGGGACTATTTTACATGCCGTGCGATCCGTGAGAGCAGCGACCTTCAACGACGGTGTGACTTTTGAAAACATTCCCGCGAATTTACCGGTATCATGACCCCTCCCAACTGTTTCTTGTCTTGCGTATGCGGCCGCCAGCCTTCGTGTTGCCGGAGCGTGGCGATGAGGAGGCGGTGGAGAGCTTGACGACCACCGTTATTACTGCCGTTCAGCCCGACGGCCCTGCATGCGGCCAGTTCTTCACGTTCCATGACGTTGTCGTGAGTAGTGTTTGCGCACATATTGCGCGAGCGGCGTTGAGCACCCAGCTTTCTGTTTGTGATTCTTTGCGGCTGGGCTCAAAGCAGAGCGTGCCCTGCGTTTAGGTGCAGTGCCCTCCCCGCAACTCCCTATTAATAGTTTAGTCTTATCCTGATGCTTGGTTATGTCGGGGTGTTCGTCCAACCTTGTTCAATTGTCGCACATCCGGCGACGATGACGTGCAAAAGATAAGCAGGACGACAGGATTTTGCGTCGTGCATCACCTACAAGCTGGCGGAGTAGGCGAAGGGGATTCGAATCACCTCGATTCTGGGACAAGATAGATCCCTTGCTCTCACAGTTGCTGTTGCTGTTGTCAACTCCCCCCCCGCCCAGTTTTTTTTTTTTTTTCTTTTTCTTACGAAAACACGACGATTAACGGTATGTTTTTTTCACAGATAAAGTGTTGACGTTGCTTATTTGGGCCGTGTGGAACTTGGTTCCCTTTCCTGTTCCGCCCAGCCTGTGACCCTCTCTCCATATTCTTTTCTTTCCCTTTTTCGTTTTCCTTGAAAAGGTAGACACTTGATTTAAGACACCTGCCAAAGAAATGCCGCGGATGTTTCGTCGAAATCCACCTAAGCCTCGCACCCCGTCTCGGCTCATCGCCAGTCTTTGCCTCCCGCACCGTGTATATACGTACCCACGTTCGAAAAGCAAGCAAAACGGCGTTGGGTTCTCACACAGTTTCGTGGCTCCTCATAATGGCCCCCAATGAACGGCGAAACTTGAGAATCCTCACGCCGCACACAACCGCCACCCCCCCGCGTGTCCACGACTGGCGTTGGTGTTGAAATATTCAGCTATGCGCACGAGGGCTAGCGTGGCGTCACGTGTTGAACGACCTGGGCGTGTTCCTTCGTGCTCCTCTTCTTTTCTCATGAGTGAGGTCACTCGCGTTTGATCAGTACGATTCCTGATTTGCTTGAACCCGATGCCGCTCTCTCTTTTTCTTCGAACTCTTCCACGAACAGGGGAAGGAAGACTCAACCGCTACCCTGCTCGAAGACCACTTGTCCGAGCTGGTCGAAAGTGATGAATCGTCCAGGGGGCCCGCCACATCATCGTGGTCGAGGGGGTACTCGTCTCGGTTCGAGGGCTTCTCCTGGAAAGACGCCAGGTAGGTCGCCCGGTTGTTGACTGTTTGATGGCAAATTTTTGGCGCAACCAATGGCCCGCCGAATGTCAAAACGGCCAGAGATACATCAAATTTCCTTGTAAATTTCCGCCACTGGCGGAGGCGTCATTGTTAGCTACGCGGTGATTAGCTGGAAACAAGAGGGACGGGTGGTGCGATGCTCGTAGGTTGTGCGGCAATAGGCCGCAGACTATCCGTGTCAAATGGTACACACAACACTGAGCATGGTAGTGCGTTCGGGTCCAACGGTAGATTATCAACACAATAATCACGGTGGGGCGTTCAATGGCCTTGCACTTGACAGGACACCGTCGTACTCGAGCGCTCATGTTTGGGTTGTGTACCGCAGTGTTCTTGGTGAGTTTCGGCGTGGGCTGAAGAAGAATAACGAAAGAGGATCATAGAAGCGCAAAGATTGTGCGCGCACGCAGAGTCACAAGAAATTTCGATGGAAACAAGTGAGACAAGGCGGCTGGTTTATCACGACCTGAGGTTGCTCCACCCCGCTCTACTCCCCGAATACCTCATGGCGCTTCGCGCTTGGTGATGTGAGAAACTGGTCCGTCGACAACCCGGTGCGCTCCGTCCCGGCTTTGCAGAGATGCGAGGCATATGTTACTACGGCATGCACGGCTATGAGTACACCCCCCCCCCCCCCCCCCCCCCCCCCCCCCCCCC